CCCACTGCATTTCAACTGGAAGAAAGTATGTAAGTAGCAATTTACCTTTGCAAGTGAGTGATAGAATTTCGTATACTCTTCCTCTGTCACCTCCTTTGGATTCCGAAGCCATATAGCTTTCACATCATTCAAAAGCTCCCACTCATAAGTGGTTTCCTTCACCCTCCTAGTTTTGGGCTTTTTCTCATCTTCTGCCTTCTCAGAATCATCTTCTTCATCTTCAGAAGGGCTGGTTTCAGCTGTTCACAACATTGAAAGACTATGAGGCCACATAAGATTAAAACAAAAGGAGGGGATAAACTTTATGTTCTCTAGCAACTTTCCACCACCAACCCCCCCCCCCCAAAAAAAAACGGTTTCTTCGAGCAGGGGACAGGTCTTAAAATATGCATTAAACACATTATACAAGTTTTGACTTCATTAACACTAGAATAAACTTGGCAAGTCAGGTAGGAAGAATCACTAATACATGTTTCCTCTTCATCGCTTGACTCGTCTTCATCGGCAGGAACCTCCTTCTCAACCTCTTTGCTAGCCCAAAGATATATAGGGAAGTTGATGAATTCAGAGTATTTCTTCACCAGGTCCTGGATTCAAGGTTACCCATACATTAAGCAAAGTAGAAAACCTCAACAGAAGCTTCAGAAACATAATATTATTTCAGAAACAGAAAACGTGTTCATAGGAACTCTTATTTTCAATTTAATCTGGTAATTTGAACTGGAAAATAATCAAAAATTGGAACAGGATATTTCAGGATAGATGCTGATTATAAGTACCCGGATTCAAAAATACAAAATCTTAGTCAGCAGAATCAGAGGTCGTGTTTCTTTTCTCTAACTCCAAAAATTTATGTTAACCCACACAGACACAAAAGCAATAGGTTGGATATGCAAAACAGAAACAACTTATCACAGACTTCGACTTTTAACTAACAATTCATCCATAAGCTTAATTCTCTCAACCATTGTAATCCAAGACTAATAAAATATAAAGTAATTGGTCCTTTATTTTTTTGGTTAGACTGCACACTTTCAATCAGAGGTCCAACTGATCAAATAATCCTAACTAAGGGAGCAGAAAAAGTCATATAAGAAAATAAACTAGAATTAGCTTCTAAGTTGATGGGTCTCAAAGGTTTGCAGCACTTTACCCTGGTCTTCTGATGTCCTCAATATTGCCTTGGAAATTTTTTTCTTGTCTTCTTAAGAAATATAATCTAATAGATAATGTGGGACAGAAAAGAATTGATAAATCCCAAGGTTAAGATTGTTTATTTCCATTTATTTCAGCATTAAAGTATATTATGACCTACTGTGCAAAAACCACTGTCAGAATAGAAAACAAAATTACTCTAAATGACTGGTTAACTATTAAAAGTTTCGGCATGCACAAACTCATGATATATGAAAAGAGTCTCCTTGGGATTGGTCGCACACACCTTTAGTTTGTACTCGTCCAAATATTCTCCTGCTTCATCTCTAAGGTGCAATCTAATTTCAGTTCCACGACCAAGAGGTTCATTCCATACATCTTCAGAAATGGCAAATGCCCCATCAGCCTTCGACTCCCAGACATATCTGAATGCAGATATTTGTTAAATCACTAATAAAATTCCCATTACATACAATAGTCATTAATCAACACATTCACACAAGAACGTACTGTTTGTCATCGTTATGCTTGCTGATGACCTCAACATAGTCAGCTACAAGATAGACCGAGTAAAACCCAACACCAAATTGTCCAATCAGATTAAGGTCTCCACTTGTCTGCATCTTCTCAACAAAGGCTGTTGAGCAATAACAAGTTAGTGAACAGTAAAGAGAACTCCAAGAACACTGACAATCTCGTACCCAGCAGGTAGATTACCTGAAGTTCCAGATTTAGCTATGGTTCCCAAGTTCTTTATTAAATCCTCCTTAGTCATTCCTATACCTCTGTCACGAATGGAAAGAATTTTCTTTTCTTTATCCAGTTTAATCTGCAATCAACAACACAAGCATCAGAATAGCTTTTCAAAAGAGCAACTTCCTCGTACGTTCAACCAACAGAATCTATGAAAACTATAGATACAATTATACAAATCACCAACCTGGATCTCAAGCTTAGTGTTATCACCTTCCCCAAGTACCTCCTTGTCAGTAAGTGACAGGAATCTAATCTTGTCCAGCGCCTGAAAGAAATAGCATATTAGCTTAGAAGAAATAATTAACACATCATGTCAAACATCACCAAAAAAATTAAAAAGCACACTCACGTCTGATGCATTCGAGATCAGCTCCCTCAAGAAGATGTCCTTGTTACTGTAAAGGGAGTTGATAATAATGTCCATAAGCCGAGACACCTCAGCCTGGAACTCAAATTTCTCCGCATCAGCTCGCAGAGTTTTCCTTGACATAGACTCTGATTCCCTGGATCACATAATGATATAGTGCTCAGTATAATGAACATACAAAGAAGTTGAAGGCACGGAATCAGGGAGAAAAGAACGAAATGAATCAACAATTTGGAAACCTTTTAACAACATCAGAATCGGTTGATAAACCGTGTGGAATAGCACCAAATTTTTCCTCAACCTTTGGCGGATCAACAGGGACGTCAGATTCAGCTTCCGCATTTGCTTGTATCCTCCGACCTATTGAGAAAATAAATCAGGCGTCCGAATAAAGCAGTAATAACTAATATCCATGTTCCACTAAACAATTCAATTAAACAATCATTCAACTACGTAATTCCTTAAGCAATCATGTCATCAAAATTTCAAGGCAGCTCCAGACCAAAAATGCCTCACAAAATTCAACCCCGAGGTAACTTTATTATCTAACTATTTAAAAAACAATTTACAGTCTTAAACACATAAGTAAATAAAATTCCATAAGATCTCAAGACAAATGCTGATTCGACACTATAAAGTATTCATTCACGTCAAGCCATTTGTTGTTCGGATTCGTTAAACATATAATGGCAAGAGCATAATAGAGCTAGATCTCTATTTACTATAATGGAAATGGAAATAAAAATTTCAGTTAGCTAAAGATAAACCCTACGTTACCTTGATCTGGAAGAAGGAACAAAAGGCATAACAGAAACAGGACGGAAGGGATCGTCCACTTCCTCATTTGTATTCTGCCGGGATTTCACTCTCTCAGTTCAGTAACCAAAGAAATAGATTTTGAAAATTTGGATTCCGAATCGCACTATTTTTAGAGAGTGACTAATAATATAGTGAGCTTGTCGCCGTATGTGTCACGAGTTCGATACTGATTGATCGGTTTCACCAGCGTGGACGATCAGACGGTTATAGTGAGTTCTGTTATACGTGGCGTGGTTTTATTGGTTTCTATCGCATCATGAGACGTGGAGGAACACCTTTGTTCTGGAAGACTCTATAGGTCAACACGAAGGAAGACCTGGTTTCTATCTGGTGCGATGAGGTCCATAGAATAGATCTTAGTTAGACAGCCAATAAGGAATTATTTAGGGGAATTACCAGCTATGTCCATTTATAAGTAGCTCATTACAAAAATTGGCCAATTGGTAAAATATTACTAATATTAGCCAAATTAGCCAATTAGTTATTTGTAGCAAAAAAATATCAAATTTTTGCTTTGTTTTGAGTGGGTGTTATTAGAATAGATTGGGCACAACTTAAGGACCTTGAATCTCAGTTTTGGGATGATTTGGTGAAGTTTTGAGGTGGTTTGAATTAAAAATTCGAAGTAAAAGCTGAACATGAAAAAAAATGATATGTGTATCACACTATGTATCATTTGTGTATCACATATGTATCATATTTGTATCAATTGTGTATCACATGTATATCCATGTATACCTGTGTGTGAGATACGTGCATGATACATGTTTGATACATGTGTCGCAGAAGACTTTTTTGAACTCGATTTAATTACGAATTTTGATACAAAACTAGTCCAAATCACCTCCAATCTTCCTCAAATTTTGTATATTGACTTATCTATATATTTCCAATGAATTTCAACTATACCCATTGAAAAAATTCCTTTTTTATTTAGATTTTTGGAATATTGTATAGATTTTTGTATTTCATCACCTTATTTGCTACCCCGTCCATGAAAGTTCCTTTCCGTCTTGTATCTAATGTTGCTAATCACGCTTAAAAATATGGAAGATGATTTTTGCATGTGATTCTTTGAGAGAAAGAACCCTATTATTTGATTTTTCAATTTTTGTTGGCTAGTTTTGGTAAGTTTATGACTAATGGCTAGAGGTTGGTAAGTTGAGATTTATTTGGGACATTTGTGTAAGTTTCCCAATTATTTACCGTAGGACCTATGTCTGATAGTCACGTGGTTTCTTCATTGGCAAGGGTGAACGGTGTAAGGCCAATAGTCAAGACTCAAGAGAATGAAGTCATGAACTAACGCCAATTATTTTTGTTTTTTAACTTGGAACATTCTTTGGGTTTAAGTTCTATGTAACAATTGTTCAAAAATATTCATATAATCAAATTACTAATATAATTAGTGTAGTTAAATTTTATTATAAGCTAATATTAGCATAATAAAAAATCTGTTGTAATAGGTTAAAAACAATGGATTGTGAAATTTTTTTACAATGTCATTGTATATAACTTAAGATATTCTACTTATCATAATCTGCCTATTAATTTTGCAAAATTATACAGAAAAGTCTGTCATTAATTTATTATTCTTCTTTTGTTGGAAGATGTGGAAGTAGCCACTTATGCTTCGGTAGGATAGGCGTAAATGCAGGATGCTTTATGCACCGGGCTACCCTTTTTATAGAAGAAGATGTAGAATCACATAGGGTAGGTTATTTACATCACACTCTTGGGGATGCGACTATTTCCCGGATCCTACGTAATGCGGAATGCTTTATGCACCGGGCTGCCCTTTTTATCGGCGAAGATGTAGAATCACGTAGCGGACTAGTGACCTGGTTATCTTGGTTGCATGATAATCTAGAATATTGATAGAACAGGATAAAGACAAGAGACATTCTTCTAAATTTCTATGGTGTAATTGAGAGATTACAGTTACATGTAAGTTTTCTGTGGTAGCAATAATCTATGAAACTGGACGAGAATAACAAGTTAAACAACATTTGGAAACAACGAAACCTAGCATCTGCTCTTCTTTGGCCAAGTCATCTCAAGAAGCATATTACATTCAGAAATCATGTCTTTATTCAGCTATATTATGCCCCTAACCACAAAATCAATAAGGCTCTCCTCCTGCCTTGAATTTACCTATTGCTATAAAGACACTGATCCCCATTAGAGAAAAACATGATACATTAAGTTTACTTCCACGACGGTGGATGAAGTTTAAAAGGGTAAGGCTCCCAACCACCATCCGGTTCTTTGCGTTTCTCACCAGCAAGTGAACTGGTTGAGGGTTGTGAGCTGGTCCTTAAGTGTTCATCCATCGACCTGGCCTGTCCTTGTGTGAAAAACTGCCTCAGACCTCCGAGGTCTCTATTTCCTCCCTCAAGTATCAAGCCGGTGTTGAGATCCAGACTACTCCGTTGTGGCCCGACCCCATTGGAAAAAGGTGCACCAGACATGCTTATAATGAATGGATGCTGAGCGAATGATGGTGGTATTGCTGAAGCAGAGCCAACAAGTTGAGGTACCATAGGCGCACCTCGCGAATCCACCATGTAAGGAATAGGGCCACCAGGTCCATACATTGCTGAGGAGAACGGAATGGGAGGACCTGGTGCAATGCCATTGTAACCAAAGGCGGGAGAAGGGGTATATAGAAATGGAGGTCCCATTCCCAAGACACCTCCACTTCTTGCAACATTAAGATCAACTGTATTTTCTGCTGTCCTGCCATTTGGGAATGGAAAGAATTGAGGAGCATCTTCACGCTTGACCTCTACCTTCATGCCCATAATGGATACTACAGAATTACCCGATTTTATACCTCCGGATGCGCTAATATTTTGAGATGGTTTCTTGAAGTAGGATAGATCTGAAGAATTGTTGAGAAACGAGGGTTGGTCATTTAGATCAAAGTTCCGCGATGAAAGATGCTTGGATGACGATGATGATGATGGAGATTGACTCCAATGGCCATTCCTATCCGAGAAAAGCCTTCCCTCCATGCGCCAATCTGATGGTGCCTCACCCTCCTCACTTGCACAGTTGAGATCCAACTCCACTCTTTCTGATTTTCTGGAGCTAGCTTCAACGGAAGATTCCCCTGAAGGAAGCGCAGATGGTAACGGAAGTTTGACAGTGAAAAGTTCTGCAGATTTGTCATTTCCACCTTCAGCTACATTAAGATCAATATCAAGCCAACCTTGCTGTTGCTTTTTGCTGCTGTCATTCCCACTCCCACCAGAGAAAACAGCCTTGGCACTTTCAGGAACCCGGCGAGGTGATGCTGGCCGAAATGCACTGGTTGAAGCGGATCCTTTCCATCCAAGAGCCCCTTCAAATTCCAATGGAGCAACAGGCATCCCAGGGGCAGCTGTTGCCTTCGAAGCAGAAACAACAGAGATGCAGGTAGATATGGGATCTTCAACATGATCTATATCGTCTGAGCAAACCTCTAGATTCAGATCAAAATCACACTGGCCCTTCTCAGCATTGGCGTCAAGATCAGTACCCTGAAAGGATTCCGCCTTTACTTTTTCATTTTTAGGTCCAGCTTGAGAGTTTGTAATTGAAGCCTCCGTCAAAAGAGCCATTCCTCTTAGTACTTGCTTCTTAGAGCTCTCAACTTTTTGGCATTCTTTTGCACTCATAGAATCAGGGCTATCAGGCTCATGAATTTTACTTTCCTGTATTTTCTCAGAACTGCAACTCTGAACTTCTCTCTCCACCTCAATGGCAACTTGTCGAGCAACTTCCAGAGGATCTATCATGCCATAATCGAATTCAATATCACATTTCTTACCAAACACACCAGAGTCTTTACTAACTGTTCGTGGTTCTCCAAATTCAGAGTCACTTTCCGAATCATCTTCACTTTCATCAGTGACCTGCTTGTCATCCCCATTAATGAGATCTACCTTTGACAAAATAGTTCCTAAATCTTTGGGACATTCCAGACTATGCTCGCTGGAGGAGTTGTGCAATCTGTCAATGTTGTATTTTCTGTCTTTAGCACCAAGCACCATGGAACTTCTACTATGATTTGTAGGTCTGCTGCTATCATCCATCAATGTCTTTCCTTCGGAAATCACCACCGATGCATCATCAGAAGGCGATTTTCCTCTGCAGCTAACTTCATCCCTGATATCAGTTTGTCTTTGTAAATCTGAACCATTGCCAGCATCTGAAGCGTCTCCTGCATCAGTACCTGAAGAACTAGTTTTCTCCTCCAATGGTTTTGACGACGCCGAGTCTAACTTCTCAGAACTTCTTCCTTCTTGAGTGTGGTTTGCACAATTAACAGACTCCAAAACGGGAACCCCTGTCTGCCTATCAAGAGCACCATGTGATAAACTTGCAGAACTGCACGTATCAACTGCACTGATCGTCTCTGCATGATATGTTGAGGGTTCTACCTTCTGATCTTCACCAACAGGCTTTAATAGAGGAGACAGCTGATGCCCATCCTTCACCGTTGAATTCTCCAAATTTTGGTCAGATGTCTTGGTATCGTCAACCCCAGAAGAATTACCAACATCAGACCTTGAAGATAGCATAATATTATTGCCAACATTTTCCTCACACTTCTCTCCAGAACCCCCTCCAGAAAGAGAGGCGTTCTCCGGAGAAGGTTCTGACTGTTCATTTTCTCTGACGACGTTTTCAATTACTCTCGTCCCATCATCAACTATTGTCTGTGGTTTTTCACAACCGACTGAAACTGCATCATTATTTTTTTCTCTCTCCCAAATATCAAACAGTGCACGAGCCCTCTGTTGCACCTTAGAGCTCTCATGGTCAAGGAGGCTTTTCACAGTAACCCTGATTCCAGAAGAAACTGATTTCTCAAAGTCTACATGAAGCCTTTCAACCGCTACCAGTAACCGAGTGATCAACTCTTCCACGTTGTCACTCGTCTCATTAACAAAATTCTGAGCATCCTTTAACCAACTATCAATAAAGCAGAGTCCATCTAGCTGGATAAAGAGTTCAAGACACTCTTTATTCTCAGTTGCAGCGATTGCGCTAGCAACAGCAGACCATTGCCTTGTTACTTCACCAGCATTCTTGACAACGCAAACTTCTTTCTGCATAATAGATACTAGATCCTGAACTCGAGCAGGAGCTGTAAGCCCATTACTCATCTCAGTCAGGGTGAAAAAATCCTCGAGTGTCATAATTTATTATTAGCTCACAAGTTAGGACTCCCAAGAAGCAAAGTGACTCTGGTAACATGATACTACAATGTCCTTCATATCTGGAAAAGATAATGCTAACGCAGAAGAATTTCCAGCAAGCTTCCCCTGCAGAAGATTTAAAAAATGACCCATAATATTAATCAGTAATGTAAGAAATGAAGCTTTCTGATAATAACTGAAAAGTCAATTTCACATCCGATTGTCTATAACAAATAATACTGTCGGCACATGCAAAAAGTTATTGATTTGACCTAAGAGACATTTAATTTGTAATCCTTTATTACGAAACAACCCAGTCAAAGCAAGCAAAATAGAAAGCTCAAATTTCACTACAAGATGGCAACACTACATTATGGTTAAAATGATCCTACATCGCCAAAAAGATTTCAGTCTCGTAAATACAGGACACAAATATTTTTCATTTTCTGTTCACTGATTATAATTTCTTCGCGCATTGGGTTTGAGATGCTAGCATCTACCACACTATCAGCTACAGGAGCATCAGAACAAAGAAGAATCCTTGTTTCTGCAATTAAACCAAGTATGTTTCCTGTTGGTTAGCTGGCTCAACCCCGTTGTACAGCCCCTTCAAGCTCTTCTATTTAGCCTGTAATACAGATCAGGCAAATATACAGTAAAAGAAAGACTTTCTTCTTTCTTTTAGTTTCACATCTTTCTCCCATTCCAGAAACTTCTTTATGTAGTGGCAGGTCCAAAAAAACTCTCTTTACATCCAAAAGCAGAGATGTCACAAAAATTTCATAGAATGGTTAGGTATTCAATTAAAGAAATATTAGGAAAATTTGGTGTAGACTAAAATGCTATGCAACCAAAAGTAGTCCTTACAAATTGACCAAATTCTCCCAAACTAAATGCTTATGCTGCAGCTAGAAATTGGGTGAGGAGAAGCTGTTCGAGAATCATCAACTAATGGGTTCACGAAGGTGAACAGCCTTCTCATCCCTGGCGCACCAAAGAGTCTAGAGTGCCTCATGGCACCGGTTTATGGAAACATATTAGAGGGCATTGGAACAAGTTTGAGTCAAACATGGGTTTTATTCTTGGCAATGGAAGGAAAATCAGGTTTTGGGAAGATGCATGGTTGGGTCATACGCCACTAAAAGACCAATTTTCAGATTTTTATAATATATCCTTGCATCACAATGGGGCAATTGCAGATTTCTGTACATCGCAAGGCTGGAATTTGAGTCTTAGAAGGAATATTAATGATCGGGAAATGGAGAGGGTAGGCCTCTTGCTACAAATGCTAAGCAACACTGTTTTGGACCACTGCAAAATGGACTCTATCAGTTGGAAGGGTCACTCCAAGGGCATTTTTTCAGTTAAAAGCTGTTACAATATGCTGGGTTTTAGCAACAGTGAGTTATGGCCTTGGAAAAAAATATGGTACAACATGGCACCTTTAAAGGTTTCTTGCTTCTCTTGGATTGTGGCTAAGGAGGCATGCCTCACACAAAACAATCTCCAGAAGAGGGGTTTCAAGCTGTGCAGCAGATGTCCTTTATGTGAAGAACAATCTGAAGATGTTACCCATCTTTTTTTGCATTGCAAGGTTACAAACCAGTTATGGAACATGTTCTTTTCAATATTTGGTATGTCTTGGACCATGCCTAACTCCATTTCAGAAATGCTGAAGTGCTGGACCAGGAGGGTCTATGCAAGTCAAAAGACCTGGAACACTGTTCCTCAAGTTATCTGGTGGTCTGTCTAGCTTGGAAAAAAACAGTAGAATTTTTTAAGGCAAAAGAAGAAATGTATAGTGCCTTAAGCTTAATTGCATTTTGTTGATCGCCTTTTGGTGTAGATGATATTTTAGACGCAATTGCTGATTTGCACAACCTGTAGTTATGCCTGTTGCACTGGCTTAGTGCAAATATTTATATAATATATTATTTACCCATCAAAAAAAAAATAACCTTCTCATCCCTCGTGCAAATTTTGCACTCAAATCAACAAAGAGCATCATTTGCACATAATAAATCTTACTAAACTCATACTCATTCAAAGTCACGAACTAATGGGTGAAAAAAAGAGGTGAATAACCTTCTCATTCATCGTGCAAATTTTGCATCCAAAACCACTATGAGCATCATATTCACCACATTGCTCTAAACCTTAATAGTCTACAAAATTTTACGCTAATCGTTGTGGAAATGAAATCAAAATAACATTTGATAACCCTTAAAGAAGAATAGTTGAGACTGCATGCCTGTTATTTTGAAGCCATCGGCAGATGAAACTATGTCATACTAAACTGGGAGAACACTTCTGAAAAATTTGTGGGGAACGGATAACCAACTATGCTACCAAACTGCTCAAAAGCTTCTCAATTGTGCATAATATGGACAATTTGGCTGGAGAGAAATTCCAATGGAAAATAGGACATACTTCATATGTAAAAATTTAGCTGCTTTTTACTCTTTTTTGGGGGATAAGTCCTCATGAATTTTTACTTTTGGAGCAAGCCGAGCACTTTCCGCGGTGGCGTTAGGTTTATCTCTGATGTCCCACGGAGGTTCGACTAGTAGCCCTCTATCTGGCACCAATTCGGCTGATATTACTACTACTGAAGTTTCAAGTGATATCACCGCTCTTTTTGAGCAACGAATGGAAGTGGAAACTGATTTAGAAAATCTGAAGGACTTATACACCCTTTCAATATCTAGGAGTTATTCTCTATATTTTTACACAGAGTAGCGCCAAAATCTATTAAGGCTTAAGAAAGCGGAAACAAAGCATGGGCTTTAATGAACAAATCTCTACTAAAGAAGAAATATAATAAACGTATATTTAGTGCAACGAAAATTACTATAAACACAATAATTAAATATTTGGACAAAAGAATTGAAATAACTATACTAAATGAAATATATGAAGTAAAAATCACAACAGTCAAGTTTACAACAACAACAACAAACCCAGTGTAATACCATAATTGGGGTATGGGAAGGGTAATGTGTACGCAGACCTTACCCCTGCCTTATAGAGATAGAGAGGTTGTTTCCGATAGACCCTCGGCTCAAGGACGTCAGTCAAGTTTCAGAACCATTTTAAATTTTTGATTTATATGAAGAGATGTAGTTTTCTATTTTTTTGGAACTAGTTTTTTATGCTAATATTTTAATTAATAATTCTTAATCACTAAAAGTTCATTCATTACGGTTTTTAATTTTATTATTTTTGACTATATTTATTGTCTAGTACTGTCCTCTCAAAGGAAGAACCTATTAGTGATGAGGCACATGCCTTAACACCTTAGCACCTACACAAAAGCGTCACTTAAGCAAGGCAAAGTGCGCAATCTAGATTTATGTGAACTTAAGTACGCATAAAATAAGCCTTTAGCGAGACTGATTTTTACAGTACCTTCAGGGTACGTATCAATAAAATTACTTTATTTTGAAAAGATAAGTATTGTCAAGAAAACGCCAAAGAAGAAAGTCATAGATAGAAGATCAATAGAGATCGAGACCAAAAATTTACAATAAGCAATCTATCAATTGACCTTCAATAGATCATATGACGTACATATAAAAACTAATAGCATGATAAAGAATTTGAACCAACGATGCTTACAAGATGTTGTATTGTGAGGACCTTATTCAAAAGAACAGGCCATCCCACCACATAGAGGAGACCCACAGAACTATCTTCTTCTTTTTTTATATGAAAGGAGATCTACAACACTATGTACGGTGGATAATGGATTCCATCATTCATTTGAAGTATGACTCTAACAAAGAAATTGCCATAAGTATTCATATCAGGTTCGAGCCTTTCAGATCTTTCTACACTTTTTATTGTTTCCTGATAAGATTTTAAAATGCATATGACATGGCTCCAAAGCTTCCTATCAAGAAATTATTTGAAACGCGAAAACATGAGCAAGTTCAAGTCTTGCGCTATTCATGTGACTCGCATCATGGTTTTCCGCACGTCTCTTAGGAAAACAATCAGTTTATGGCTGCTTCCAGTACAGCAAAGTAAGCATGTAATTACATTCCTCCATAAAAGGAAAATTGCATCCACCTCCTTCTCTTCTAGCTTTTTTTTTGGTCAAGCAATGTGTAGTTTTACTTATTATCGGAAATCTCCAAATACAAGAGGTATAGCAAAAAGTCTCTTTCTCTTTGTATAGTAGTTAGTATATTGCCCTACTTACTAACGGTTCATAAACAAAACTTTCCTGCTTCCTCATCACGACCACAAAAGGTATAAAAGAAAGAAATACAAAAAAGGTGACTTGAGGATAGAAAGAGAAAAGAAAAGCCAGGGGTCGAATGAGGCTCACTAAATCAGTATGCATTTAAATTTACACTATCATTCCAAAACATCAAAACCTTATACATCAGAATCGACAACTGTTCAAGTGAAAGAATATTAGTAAAATGCCAAAAAAGGTCCATTCACAAATTTGAACAGATTGGCAGGTGTAAATTTAATACTGTTATTTTTAATACTAACAAAAAGATGCAGGCAGCAGCGGAAAACATATATCAACCAATAAGAAAAACAAAAACTTGTTATCACTCGAATTTACCGGACTCTCATGCCCCTTTGATCAAGCTGGAAACTTGCGAAAAAACTGAAACTTCTAAAATCCCTATAAATAAATGGCAGTAATGTCAACCTGAAAAAACAAAATTCCAAAACACAGAAATGAGTTCCAAAACCTCAAAAACTAAGCAGTAGAGTTGAATAACAACGGAACAACAAATAAAAGAATTGAGTTTACAGATTAAACAAAAGGGAAACAGAAAGAAACTCAAGCCCTAAAACAATTTCAACTTGAACCATAGAAAATTAGCTAACCCCAGAAACAAAAACCCTATATAAGAACTTGGGTCAAACCTAAAATGCTTAAAGACTATATCTTTGGACTAAAAAGAACCAATTTTTATTATGTCAATTAATGCAAGCAAGATTGAAAATTAACCAACCAAAGAAGCAAAATATACCCAAAATTAAAATTCTTTCACAATAACTGCAGTTCAGTACTAATAAATTCCAAAGTAAAGAACTTTACCTTGGTCAGAAAATGGAAGAAAACCCTAACTGGGTTTGCACTTTGAAATCCCAAAAAGCTTAAATTTTGCTATGTTTTTCAGACACCCAGTGTTCTCTTTAAGCAAAGAAATTCCTTATCTTGTTTGAATTTTCATAAATGGGTGTCTAAATCTGTATTCAGAAATACTGTTTCTCTTCTTTGTCTTTCTGTATTTTTTCACAACAAAACCCTGCTTTTTCCCACCTTCGAAACAACGTTGTCTTCTTCAGAGTCTTGTTTTTTCCTTTTTTTTTTTTTAATTTTTTTTATCCAATTCTCTTTGTTACTATTTCGATTTTCTTTTTCTTTTTGGGGGTTTGTTTCGCTGGGTTCGCTGAACTAAAGTTTGCAATGGGGAAGCAACACGTGCCACGCGTGTCAGATTTCGCAGGCCAACCCGCAGAGTTACGGGTCGGGTTGAAAGCAACCGAATTGACTACTGCTGAAGTAGGGTCCAGTTCCCGTCCGGAGGGGGGAGGGGGGGGGAGACTTTTTCTATGAAGATATTTGTGATGGTAGAAGGATGGAGGTAGTCTTGTCTGAAAATTGAAGGACCTTATTGGTGTTCCCACCACTGACACGTCCCATGACACGTGTAATTTCTTTTTTAAAATCTTTATGTGCAGGTAGGAGTTTTAATTTTAATTAATAATGTTGTTATTTGGTTAGATTTTTGTATATTTTTCTGGTAATTATACATATAATTAATAGTTAAACTAGTTGGAGTTAGTTAAATGATTCAGTTGTATCTAGTCTACTCTGCTCAAGCACTGTATATTATTCTAGCATTAAGCAATTTATTTGTAAAGGCAAATTAATATTTTTCTGAAACTTGAATTTCCTTAAATTTTCTCTACACAAATATACCAATTTGTTGTTGAAATAAAATATCTTGGAAAACACTGTAAATGCAACAATAACTGAACTTTAATATATTAGCTGATGCTATATTTTGAAATTTGAATCATTCACTTCAATTTTATCTTGTACGTAGTTTTCTAAGTCCAATGTTGAACTATGAATGTAACCTTAAACTTGGTACAAATTAATAATGAAAATGCACGTCCTCTTTATATAGCAATGTTTTGGATTCGTGTGGTAAAACAACATGTTTAGAAGGGATACTTGCCAAATTTGCCGTTGCAAAGTCGTTTGGTTGGAAAGATATTATTCCGGAATTAGTTATTTCAGTTTTTTTCAGGATAAAAAATACTATAATCTCGGGATAGTTAATTCCGGGAATAATTATATCGCAATTTTCTCCCTACCAAATATGAAGTAAACTCTTCTTAAATGTAGTCCCGGGATTAATTATTCCGTGTCCCCCATACCAAACGAGCCCTTAGTATGCAACAAATCAATAGTGCAAACGCTCTTGACGAAATTGCGGGATTTCTATTCTTAGATATCACTAGGTTATTAACTGTCTTATAGCTTGTTTGACCAAGCTTCTTTTTTGTTGAATTTTATTTCAAAACCAAAAATACTTTATTTTTAAAATTAAGGTGCTTGGTCAAGCTTTTAGTAGAAAAAAATACTTTTGAATATAAGTATAAACAGTTTTTAAGAAGCAGAAAAGGTAGTTTCTCCTCAAAAGTAACTTTTTGAAAAACACACTTAAAAGCATTTTTTAGAAACTTGGTCAAACATAATAGTTACTCAAAAATACTTTTCAAATTAGTTACCACAAATTACTTCTCAACAAAAATAATTTTAAGAAAAATACTTTTCAAAATAAGCTGATTTTAAAGCTGGACCAAACAAGCTATTATTATGACAGATTGCTTTGACAGTGGGAAGTTAACTAACTTCTTGAAAAGTCTATTCAAATCTTTGTGCTTAAAAGCATCATTAGTAAAGGAGAGCACATGATTCGCTCATAACGGTGTTAAACTAATTAGTACTATTATCTTTGTCTCATTTTATGTGATATATCTTAACTAAACACAAAGTTAAAGAAAAAAAAAACTTCAAAAGTTTATGATATAACACAAGTCATAAATAATTGCAGTGGTATGTCGTTTTTTCTCATTTATTCATGCGTTAATAGACAAAGTCATCACTCATCAGTACATGTGCTGGTGAGAGGTAGCATGTGCTTGTGAAATTAGTCAATGTTCTCCGCAAACTGCCCCCGACACTAGGGGTGGGCATAGTTTGGGCGAACCCGAAATTCGAATTATTTGGATTTTCGGAATATGTATTGGATTTCGGATTTAATTTTAATTTTTTTTTTAAATTTTGGATTGGATATTGGATTTGGTACTTCAGATTTTTGGATATCCGAAAATCTAATATTTTTATATTTTATATTTAGTCCATTATGATATGCCAATAGTAACAAGTCCAATACCCTAACCATGAGACACAATCTCATATATTCAATACTAAGTTACTATCACAATACTTTCTATCTGGACAAAATTTTACTATTGCTACTTCTTAGTTCTTATCGGCCTTATTAACGCCTTTGTTGCATTTCGTTGATGATGATTTCATTCGATGAAAATGAAGAACCTTTTTGGCAATTTAACATGAACACCTCATATGGATGTTCATTATCGTAGAAAGAAGAAACATCACAACTTATAAGCTCAAAATCGGAAATCCAAAATATTCAAATCGATTAATCCGAATCCAAACTTAAAAAAAATTCGATTCAATCCGAGTTTATTTGGATTAGATTTGGATTGTCATTCTTCAATCCGAAAACTAAAAATCCAACCGAAATTTTTATATTCAACCCAAATTGCCTGAACGCCCACCCCTACCGGACACACAATTACAAAAAAAAAAAAATATTTGTATAACCGCAAATCATCTATTAAAGTTAAAATAAAAGGTTTAAGGTTCAGCTTTTTCAATAAAAATATATCATTCTTTTCGAGACAAAAAAAAATGCAACATATAAATTGGGACAACTTCACATTTCACTAATGTTTAAACTGGCATTAGAATATTACTCCAATAATTACAACTTCACACTGGAGCAGGGTCAGGTTAACTTCCTAATCACTCAACTTTACTTTATTATGCTGCAGTCATTAAACTATTTTTGGTAATAAAAGAATTACTCAATGGTGTAATTACTTAAGTATCACAAAAATCACTAAATTATTTTTTGTTACCAAAAAGTTAGCTTTGCCTAAGTATCATATGAAGTAATTAAAAATTTAAAAGGATACAAAGAGACATTTTATGTGATACTTAAAAGAAAAGGTTGAATAATCTTCTGTTTCAAAAAAAATATGTGCGCCTTTTATGAATACTTTGGACAAAATTGAGTGATTCTTTTACAAAAGAAATTAGTAACTTTCTGTAGATATTTAAGCATACTTGAGTGTACTTTTTTAATATAACTAATAGTTAATAAATTTAGTGCAGTAAAATATAAGTTGAGTAATTATCGGTGAATTTACTCCTATCAAGGTGATGTCTCGTATTCTTCTTTTTCGACAATATTGTCTTCTAATCCGTTGAAAAGTTCACTCAAACTTTATGTTCTTACCTCCTACTATTTAATGTGTCATCTAACTTAGAAAAATGCAAGAGAAAAATATTTTTTAGATTGAACAAGTTAATCATTTCTTTCTGATTTGAAAGAGCGTGCGTTGTCTATTTATACAAACTCCAGATTCATATGTAAAAATTACAACACAAACTGTATTGGAATACGTTAAAAATCCTTATGAACTTCTTTAACAATGGTATTTTATGTTCGACTTACAACTTATTTGGATGGTTGTTACCTATTGTATTGTATTGTATAAGGTGGCTTGACAAATTTTGGGGCCTAAAGCCAACTTTTATGAGGGGTCTTAACTTTTTTTTTTATTATTATTTATTTGAAGTCTATATTTTAGCTTTTCTTATATCCAAAATCATTAATAATTTTCTTATAATCAATAACTCCTAATAAGTATTTCTCAATTGACAATATAACTAATTCATATAATCTTTCTTGTGCCATTGTTGTTCTTAGGTAAGATTTTTATCAATTTAAATTTTGTAAACTTCTTTCCGTTGAAGCAGCGGTAACATGAGTTATTAATATTATTCTATAAGCAATTTAGGCATTTGGAAAAGAATTAAATCTTTTTATTTGATTAAGTGTATTAATTAAACTGTTATCTTCTAATTGTACTATTTTTCTTAATACTTTTAAATCAGAAAATAAATATAAACCATCAATATCGAATTGATTATTACGTTTTAAGGAACATTCACGATTAAGGTAATATTTTTTCAAATTTCCAACATCTAGTGATCTTAGTTTTTACTGCTAAATAGAAAATAAAAAATATTTCCATATGCTTCGAATTGTCCAAATCTATTTTGAAGTGAAAAAATAGTCTTGTCTATTACGTATAAAAGTAATCAACTCTAAAGGACTCTTTGAAAGATTTTGAGATTTCATTATCAATATTTGTATCAAATTGTTACTTCTTATATATCACACATTTCTTACGAAATTCGGGTTCGACATTCATTTCAAGTGCAATTTCTTGGTAGAAACAAATCAAACTTTTTCACTGTACAAAACTCTTTTTTAAACTTATACATAGTCTATTAGGTGTAACAAAAAATGGGGCCCCACAACTAGTGGGGCCNCCGCGGCTGGACCGCATAGGCTAAGGAAGCGAGGCAAAATGTTTGTCTTTCACAGCGGTCGCGCCGGATTTTGCCGCGGCCGCGGTGGACTGTGTAACTGCCCGAAAATTTTGGGACTAAAGTGTAAATCGGAAAAAACTTATCACAACCCTTTATAAACTCAACAAACTCGCCTAAGCAAGTTTTAAGTTTGTTTTTAGATTGATTTGGAGGCTAGAACAAGTGTGAGAAGAGCAACCAACCATTAGAGTTTTTCTATCTTCTCTTTGTTATTTCAATTGCACATTATGAATCCTTTTGTAGTTTTATCTTGTTTTGCTATGAGTAGCTAAACATCTAATCTAGGGTTGATGGAACCAATTGTTGGATGAAGTTTTGACTCAATTTTGTTATAATCGAGCCGGGTTTATTATATGATTGTTCAACTATGTTTTGTATGGTGATTAATTGAATGGGCCCTTGATTAATCGTGTCTACTTGCCTTGTGTTGCTTGAGAAAGAATACTAGGTTAGACTGCTGTTGAACAACACCACTTTTGGGTAATTGAAGAGATTCATTACTTGAACTTAAATGTGGGGTTAGAGATAACGAAACTTTGGTGGGATAATTCAGAGCTTCATAAATTATCAGCTAGAGTAGTTCGAGAGAATGCTCTAGTAAATTATCGTAGTTGATCGAGAGATAATTGCGATA